CAATTCATTTAAACAAAAAGCTTTTGTAATTCGGACAGTTAAACTTATTAGAATCTCTGTCAATATCATTAAGAATGAGCGCTGTAATTTAACTTGAAAGCTTTCAATTTACTGGGGTCTGGACTCGACTAGATCAAAACTTGTAAAGTAAATGCTGCTTGCACTAAGTAAAATAGCATTGTTGAGATGCGGTGATAACTGGTTGTTATTTCTGTGCAGTGCACGCGGGAGAGGCCACGGAGCCCTCGAGCCGGGGCACGCCCGCCGAAAGCTCGCCAACTAAACTGCCAAGTACGTCTACACTCCTACATCTAAATAAACTACAATAAGATCTCGCAATCTACCTCTGAAAACAAAAACTCACTAACGGTTGCAGAACAAAAATGACGACATTATAAAAGAACCATTTATGAAATGGAATTCTTATTAGAAATAATTATCTCTGCTTTTGGTACAGAACTTTTCTACGTTGCATTCGTTTTAAAGTTAAAAACTTAAATTAGAAAAAGATTGGCTTGTCGGACCCATATTTTAAACTCGATCAAGTTTCTTTTTAGATTAGTTTGACATCCTATCGGGAACGAAACATCTACGATTCCTGGCGGAATAATTCTCGCCGACTCGGGATTACACTAACTTGCCAAACGGACGTTTTGACAGCGAGCAGATAAAGTTATCAGAATAATGAGTTCGCGACAAATCGAGGGATTATTTAAATCCCCTAATTACAAGTTGAAGGTATATTGAAAGAGATCTTATTTTAGTCAACGAGTATACGAGTATGTGTGTATTTTGGCTAAAAGCACTTACCTTACGCTCAGCACAGACCCCATCCCGGCACGCTCCTGACAACCTAAAGTCAATTGAGCACTTTTCCCCAATAACAGACCGTAAATAACAAAAAAAAATTGCACGAAGGTCCGAATATTAAAATTGATGTGCGCACGTAGCCCTAACAACGTGTGGACGTTCGGAAAATGTATACCATTATTATTTGGCGTTTTTCCAATTCGTAACAGCACCCTGGCACAATATAGATCCCTATCACTGCAATTCCATTCGATGAGAGTGTGTTCCGTTTGTTTATCTTTGATTTGTGAACCTACACAGTATCAATGTGTTTTCAAAATATTTCTATGTATCTCGAGTAGCATGATCTGTGTTAGTTTGATGTGTAGTGATTAAAGTAAAAATATGGTAAGTTTTATTTAAAATGTCGTATAATTCCAACGTAATGAAGTTCTTAATCTACCCGAGAACACGGCAAAGCCTTAGCGAGGGAAAGTTTTAATGGCCAACTGAAAAGAGTCACACTGTAGGTACCTTGCGCTAACTCTCAAGAGCTATAACCGTGTATACCAGGTATGTATCTAAACATAACGTCCCTCAATGCGACATTTATTATTACTCTAAAGTAAGTTGTATTAATCCGTGACAAATATAAATTTCAATCCAGATTTACTTACCTAACCAAATAAGCTGACAAACTAAAACAAAAGCAATATGATATCGTGTAACTTAAGGACATCTTTTCAGAAGTTTCAGAAGGGACTTGTGATTGATAAAATCTAGTGTCTTCAAATTAGTTTTTCGTCTAGCGCCTAATATTTTATTAAAGCTTTTATATAATGGACTCCGCTCACATCATAGTCTTATACTAACTGAAAAATTTAAAGAGATTTCAAAGAAATCGAAATTTTAAAAGCTTTTGCCGTTGAATATTAAAGTTTGTAAAAGACACGTCTTCATCGGTAGATGGCACCTCAGGCTTTACCAACCCGACCATGAATATCCGTTGCTTTTGAATTCGCTGTCTCTCGGCTGAAAGACTTCCTACGGTGCATTTACTGCTCAAAGAAGCTATTTTTGAGATAAAATATAGCGGTGACCATGTAGAGTCCAGTTGACGCGTTTTTCTTTGTTGGCTGTTTAGAATAGTGCTGAGCAATAAGTGAGTTTATATTATTATGATAAATCGGACAAGTGCATTGAGTTGTATTCTCGTATCGAGGGTTAAAAAGTTTTAATTACTTACACATCAGAAATACCTAGATAAGTTACAAATTAAGTACCTATAATTATCCTATGGGTATGAAAAGTTAAATTTCAGGTGACAGATTAACCACTTTTTCAAAACGTTAAGAACTCAAAAGAAGTTGAAAAGTAAGATTTTGGTGACCGAGGTAAAATATACTTTTCAGATTGTAATTAGCATAAAAAGTGGTCGCGTACCTATCAAAGAATCAAGAAACTTAATGCCTGTTACATTCGCAGGGGTTAAAACATGTTACGTTACACAAACAGTACAACGAAATTCCTATAAAGTTAATTTTGAAAGTGCTAAAAAATATACAGCTCCGTGAGGGCCAGCGTCGTGTTTATCGCAATTTTTCAGCGAAATGAAAGCTCTTAAATAAAAGGCATATTATAACGTGGGCTCCACCGCATTATGTTTAGGCCTCGTTTATACTGATACAAAGCTTTGCGGATTTAAATTTGGCAACAATCTCATGTGGCAGGTTGTAATATGTTGCCAACTCTTCATCAGGTGATCCGGACCACAAGACACGAGTGATAGTCGAAATCCTGAACTGACAGTTATTTGTGTTTTAAGGGAATTTTAATGATCGCTCGCTGTTCATAATGTACGGTTAAAAGTTAAAAAGTACGGCTGAATCGTGTAATTGTGTAAAGCAATAGTTATCATTTGACAGTTCATAACGTACGATTATTCTGTCAAACGCTTTGTTTAACGGATTTTATCGTACGTTATGAACTGACAAATGATTACGATTGCTTTACACAATTCCATCTCAGTTCTCAAATTCTTGAATTGCCATTCATGGAAAACCTGCAAAATACTACTGCTAGTTGGCTAGACTTCTTATCAAGAGTACCTATTCCTGGACCAGGTCAGGACCCTTGGGGCTTACAAGGAGCGATTCTAAATATAAAGGGGCCAAACTACTTTCAGATACATTTTACCACTTTCTGCAGCTATTGACACTGTTTTAGCAAGTAATGGATATTATTATGGTTTTAATGAGAACAATTACATAGCGCTAAATGCGTTTACATAAACGAGGCCCTAAATGGTTGTTCCCTGGTGTTTTTATGTGCTGTGTGCATTAAGATTGCGTATTATTGCTCGTATAACCACGTACAAATGGGCATTTTGTTATGAGTTATGACGTCAGTCAGTGTGTTAACCTGCGAGGCTGCGATTGGATTAACGAAAGCGAAAAATAAAAGTATCAAGCAGTATTAACAATGAAAGCAGTTAGTTTTTAAAAGTTCTATACTAACAGGTTTACAGCTAAATCGAAGTTGTATTCGAACATAACATAATTTAAAATGTAGTGTTTTACTAAATGCGTAGTAAATACACAAGTATAATAGTTTAGCTAAAGGATTTGGAAAGAAATGTTAGTAATTTGCACACTGCAAAATACTGTTGCTCAAGTTTTTACATACATCGAGCTAATTCATTTTAATTACGTAGTTTGGATATCAATTTGAACACAATTTCAACAATTTATGTCGATCAAAAGGTGTCAAAACAAATGTTATACATTACATTCAAATAAATATGTCTCATATTTCCTGGCGGAGTCGTTCAGGTGAGGGTTTGATACCGGCGCAGTATTTTTCTGACGTAAAAGCTGCGAAGTGTGAATAAGTGCGAGTAGTTTTATTTAAGAGTGGGCTGGAATGGAAGCTTTAATAGCAGGCTAGGGTTACGCTTCGTAAATCATAATGCGGACAAAAGATAAAAGAATATGAGGATATCGACGGCCATTTATATTGTGATCCATAAACAAGGTCTATTTAGGTTTGACTTCCGTTTAAATACAGTATGATGAATGATATCATTATTTATCTGGGAACACGGCAGTGTCTACATAATAATGAAAGACTATAATAAATAATAATACAAAATGTAACTATGAAACTTAGTAACGTACCTATTGAATGATTGATGATTTAACTTAAGTGCTGGAAATCTTACTACCTATTTTATAAGAATAGAATAGAATAACGTTTATTTTGCTGCCACATGAATACACATACATACATAAAACAAACGGTCATCATTACAGAACCTGTCAAAAGAATGATAATTAAAATTAAAATTAATATCGGGACAGTTACTTGGCGGCGCTGCAGCAGCAAAAAGGTCCCCGTCTCAGCATGTGTCAAGTGCATACCACATGACGCTGATTTTCAGACGGCGGCCGTGGTCTGAGTTGCTCGGTGTATCAGGATATGAGTTTTATAAATGTCAAATTTAATGTCAAGTAGTAGAAGAAATTAATACAAATAGAAAAATAAATAAAAAATTAAACAACATTAATATGTATAATTAAAGGAAATGTCAAAATTAAATGTCTAAATTATGTCAAAAACGATAGAATTGTAGATGTCAAAAATAATCTTATAGAACAACTAGAGGACTAAAATTTTCAAACTGGTCACGGAAAGTTTATTAAACTAAAAGAATAGTTTTGTGCAGCCCTATCCATTCTAGCTCTGAACACCTGGGCTTTACGTCACCACCACGGAATCTACGGTAAATTACCAGTTTCTGAGCCCACTTTGTTTAGTTTCACTCTACATTATCTGGCGATTTTCTTTTTAGCCTCATTTGCTTGTTATTGAAGAAAGCAGATTTATAGGATTTGATTCACCGAGTGCTATTACGAGTATAAATAGAAATAACACCATACCAAATCATCTACCTATATGATTTCAATTTAATCAAATTGGATTCTAAGAACTGTTTGAATTACCTAAATTTGGTCCTAATTAAATGTTTGAATACGGTTATTAGTTTCAACTTTGGCAATCTATTGGAAATCGACGATTGCTCGAACTGTTTACATGATCCCGGGTCCCAATCTTCTCTTGCTGTGGTGATTTGGTCCATCTCCGTTTATAAAGAGACAACGAAACGATGAGTCTTGATACTTTTGATAATATTTTCTTTTTTGCGTCCACAGAGTGCGACCGCACATTCGTGAGTCGTGGCGGCGCGAGCAATGGCACGTTCCACGCGCCGGAGCTCCTCAACCCCAACAACCACAGCCGCCAGTGTCTTTACACGTTCCTGGCGGCGCCGGGGCAGCGCGTGCTCGTCGAGTTCCGCACCTTCGACCTGCGTGGGAAGCCGCCCGAGTACGTGTTCACACTCACACAACTACAGCCGCCAGTGTCTGTACGTTCACACTCACACACAGTATACTCACACAACCACAGCCGCCAGTGTCTGTACACGTTCCTGGCGGCGCCGGGGCAGCGCGTGCTCGTCGAGTTCCGCACCTTCGACCTGCGTGGGAAGCCGCCCGAGTACGTGTTCACACTCACACAGTATACTCACACAACCACAGCAGCCAGTGTCTGTACACGTTCCTGGCGGCGCCGGGGCAGCGCGTGCTCGTCGAGTTCCGCACCTTCGACCTGCGTGGGAAGCCGCCCGAGTACGTGTTCACACTCACACAGTATACTCATATTATCACAGCCGCCAGTGTCTGCACACGTTCCTGGCGGTGCCGCTCAAGAACATGACTGTCTGCACTGCATATTCACCCAACACTCACAAAACCAGTGCCTCTACATTATGTGCCACGTTTCCTGGCGGTGCCGCCCAAGAATATGACTATCTGCACCGCATATTCACCCAACACTCACAAAACCAATGTGTCTGTACATACAATATGCCATGCCTCAATATTGTTTGCGACTAGTATAATTAGATTGATTGTTGATGGTGCTATGACGCATTACAACGCATTACCTTGTTGTTTCTATTTAGTTAATTTAATCATTGAGAAATTGTTTCCTGCTCCTCTACATTTACTGAGAGATTCACCTCTTGATCAGACAGCTAAAATAAATAATTTACATCGTCATAATCCATGATGTTATGCATCCAGCGGTTAAATCCGTATCAACATCCCCTCATCACATTTAAAATTAACGAAGGCACAATTTTCACTGGTAATGTTTATTGTTTCAGTGGAGCCGCAGTGGGGGAGCTACCAGCGTGAGTATTGTTTCTTATCTATCTATCTCGCTTACATCTCCCTGTAACGTGTTACTATAAATTATGCGGCGCAAACATGTTTACTTTCCGCAAGAATTATTATTGTTTTGTATAGACGCGACAATTTGGGTCAAACTTCTCGAAGCTCGGAACCTTGACTGGGATAAACTTGTTTTGATTTATTTAGGGAGACACGTTCGGAATACACTGGGAGACAGGGGATGATTTAGGTCGGCCGAGTTTAAATTCTAATAAAAAATAATCCCTCAAAGTGATGTGAATGGCATCAAAATCGATAATGATTTTGTGGTCTTTGTAATGCATTCTGTTTTACAGAGCTGTGTGATGAATGTGATTTTAGGGATGCCTTTCAAAATCTGCGGCAAGATTTGGTAGCGAAACTATTGTTAATATAAATTACTTATATTTTTTTCTCGTAGATGCATGCACGAGTATATGGATATCTACTCGGAGATGGCCTCGCTGGAGGCGGGCGAGCTGGTCAACTCGGCGTTCGGCGGGCGCTACTGCGGGCCCATCCCGCCGCGCCGCCGCGTGTCGCTGCACCGCGCCGTCGCGCTCTCCTTCTACTCCGACAAGACCTTCGTCCCGCCCACGCTGTTCACCGGCACATACCGCTTCATCAACGCATGTGAGTGTCTTCTAGGATAGCGTGACGTCGAGTTGTCTCTGCGGGCCCATCACGACGCCACATCCTGCCATAACGGTCTTCTGCTCGGAAAACACATTCGTTCCGCCCACGCTGTTCACCGGCACATACCGCTTCATCAACGCATGTGAGTGTCTTCTATAGCGTGAGATCGCTGTGAGTTGTCTTAGGTGGGTACATTCCGCCGCGCCGCCTCGTGTCGCTGCATCGCGCCGTCGCGCTCTCCTTCTACTCCGACATGACCTTCGTCCCGCCCACGCTGTTCACCGGCACATACCGCTTCATCAACGCATGTGAGTGTCTTCTACTTCTGCTCGGAAAACACATTCGTCCCGCCCACGCTGTTCACCGGCACATACCGCTTCATCAACGCATGTGAGTGTCTTCTATGGCGTGAGATCGCTGTGAGTTATCTTCGGTGGGTACATTCCGCCGCGCCGCCGCGTGTCGCTGCACCGCGCCGTCGCGCTCTCCTTCTACTCCGACAAGACCTTCGTCCCGCCCACGCTGTTCACCGGCACATACCGCTTCATCAACGCATGTGAGTGTCTTCTATAGCGTGAGATCGCTGTGAGTTGTCTTCGGTGGGTACATTCCGCCGCGCCGCCTCGTGTCGCTGCATCGCGCCGTCGCGCTCTCCTTCTACTCCGACAAGACCTTCGTCCCGCCCACGCTGTTCACCGGCACATACCGCTTCATCAACGCATGTGAGTGTCTTCTAGGATAGCGTGACGTCGAGTTGTCTCTGCGGGCCCATCACAACGCTACATCCTGTCACAACGCCCTTCTGCTCGGAAAAGACCTTCGTCCCGCCCACGCTGTTCACCGGCACATACCGCTTCATCAACGCATGTGAGTGTCTTATATGGCGTGAGATCGCTGTGAGTTATCTTCGGTGGGTACATTCCGCCGCGCCGCCGCGTGTCGCTGCACCGCGCCGTCGCGCTCTCCTTCTACTCCGACAAGACCTTCGTCCCGCCCACGCTGTTCACCGGCACATACCGCTTCATCAACGCATGTGAGTGTCTTCTAGGATAGCGTGAGATCCCTGTGAGTTGTCTTTACGGGCCCATCACGACGCCACATCCTGCCATAACAGTCTTCTGCTCGGAAAAGACCTTCGTCCCGCCCACGCTGTTCTCTGGCACGTACCGCTTCATCCACGCATGTGAGTGTCTTCTATAGCGTGAGATCCCTGTGAGTTATCTTCGGTGGGTACATTCCGCCGCGCCGCCGCGTGTCGCTGCACCGCGCCGTCGCGCTCTCCTTCTACTCCGACAAGACCTTCGTCCCGCCCACGCTGTTCACCGGCACATACCGCTTCATCAACGCATGTGAGTGTCTTCTAGGATAGCGTGAGAATACTGTGAGTTGTCTTTACGGGCCCATCACGATGCCACATCCTGCCATAACGGTCTTCTGCTCGGATAAGACCTTCGTCCCGCCCATTCTGCTCATCGGCACATATCGCTTTATCAACGCATGTGAGTGTCTTCTAGCATCCTGTAGGTCTTCCGCGAGCTCATCACGTTCATCTCGGATAAGATGTAACGCCCGCTTAGCACTAACATAACGCAGTGTCTTTCAGCCTGAAGCGAGATTGCTAAAGACTATAAAATATATTATGAAGGACCCACCCACTTTGAGTTTAAGTTTTGCATACCATCTACCCGCCACATTCTTAACGCTCGTAGTACTTCACTAAGTACCTACAAAGTATTTTCAATCAAACTTTAAGTCGTAAAACCTTCTCGAAGATATAAATAACTTTAGCAGTTACAAGTTACACGCTTACAGTTAGCGAGCTATTAATCCAAAACTCCTAGGAATTTATAGCATTTAGGTTTATGCATGTGTACGAGTATGTAGTTATGACATTACTTATGTAAAATTGTTTTTGATTGATTTGATAACATTTTGGTTATTGCACGAGCCTATCTAGCTAAACTATGTGTGTAACAGTCTATGAGATGAGTACCTTCCCCATAATTTTTCCTGCCTCGCGGAATTCGAAGTAACTACGGACCGAAATTTAACGCAGGTGCTGCGTCGATGCTTTTTTCCCTTTGGGTACATTGCTCTCTCTGATCACAAACGTCCGATGAGCTGTCGACTCACGCCCGTATTCACAAACATTACAATGAGGTCTCACAATGCGCGTCGACGCACAGGGTCATACACGAACCAATCACAAAGCTCTATTCAACGCTGTGCGTTCGATTGGCAAGCATCGTTTGTGAATAGGTACGGGTGTCAATCTATCATGTTAACTAAGGAAATTACTCCTCTCCCAACAGCGGAGTTCGAGGTGGGAACGCCAGTGCCGAACACTTTATGCTCGTTCGTGATCGACGCGAGCAAGCGCAAGACGGGGCTGCTGCTGTCGCCGACGTACCCCGGCATCTACCCGAAGGACATGACCTGCAACTACCTGTTCAGCGGCCAGCCGGGGCAGCGCATACGCCTGGAGTTCCGCGACTTCGATCTGTTTTTCGGCGGTCCTCAGTGAGTTAATTTATTTAATTAGATTTGGCTTGATTATGGAAAATCATAAAGTAGCTGAACCTGCGCGTTTAATACTTAGCCTTGGTTGTCTGGTAGAAATTACTTCATAGCAGCACGACCGTCTAAAATGTGCACTTTAAACTTTTGTATTGTCAGATTTTGTGTAATGTAAAATGAAGAGTAACTTCTCATCGTATGAACCAATCATCGATGTAACGCATCGGACTTCAGTGTGCTTACCATGACGTTAGGTGTGCTCGCTAGCGAGTACGTCAAAAAAATCAATGGAGATTTTATTTCTTGAAAGTAGCCGCTAGAGGCGCTGCACAATATGTCATACATTTTAATGTCATTTTTTATGCAGTCGCTAGCGCGCACACCTAACGTAAACTCATGGTAAGCACACTGATTAGATTCCCCATTGACCATAAAACAAGTTATGTAGCTTTAGTTGAAATGGTTATAAGGATTTATAGTACCTTTCCCCAATATTGCCTTTTATGGGTTGCCTGTTGCTTAAATTTTGAGGATGAGAGCCCAGTGAACCTGGAAAGCCACTTACGGCTATCTACCCAACATTCCGTAAGGCGATTATCACACTGCTCCGCGGTCCACGTGGCGACATACAGGGTGTTTCTTGTAAGGTGTCAAGCCGAAGGCAGGTGATAGGTGAGGACTAGACCTATCGATTTCACCCCCATGTATGTTCTACGATTTTTCGTAGTTTAGAAGTTATCGTTAATATTGTGATTTTTTCAAATTTCATGACCTAGTGGCTTAATTTTTTTTTTATCTTTTTTTTGGGTTGACTTTTCTCAGATTTCTTTTTTTTGACAGATTCCCTATTAGTTGCAGATATTTGAAAAAAATAATCACCTTCCTATCTTTGATGCAAGATACAAAATTTTTGCTAGAAACATAAAAAATATGCTTTTAGCAGAACATTCTAAAATTTTCAACTGAAATGTATGAGAAAAAAAAAAAGAATTTCCATAGGTCCAAAATAATTTTAAAAACCATTATCATACATAATGGCCTAAAGCTACTAATCTCACCAAATTCCGTCCAGCTGCCCATTCGACTGGGTGCGCGTGTACGACGGGCCCGACAACTCATCGGCGGTGATCGGCACATACTGCGGCCAGCAGCGCAACCTGGTGCTGTACTCCAGCGACGAGCGGCTGCTGGTCACGTTCTACACGCTGCCGCGCTCCGCCAGCACGCAGAACCGCGGGTTCAAGGGTATCTTCGAGTTTTCAGAGAGTTTTGTTAAGTTAGGTGAGTTGTGACGCGAAGATAGTAAGAAAGAGGTTGGGGAAAATAAAAACAGAAAGAAAATTGGAATATTTTTTTGGTTGTCTGAAAAATGCTGAAAAATTACACCCACTCAGTATCACAGACTTTCGCCGCATACCTTGATTAGGTACCGCTAAAAAAGCTGCTGAAACTGCTAAAGAAAAGTGTGCGTTTCTGACTACGAATATAATAAACTAGCTTTCCGCCCGCGGCTTCACGCGCTTGGACTACATTATCTACATATTTTATGAAACCCTATTTTTTTCCAAAATAAATTTTAGCCTATGTTACTCGTGGATAATGTAGCTTTCGAATGGTGAAAGAATTTTTAAAAACGGTCCAGTAGTTTTTGAGCCTATTCATTAGGTACAACCAAACAAACAAACAAACAAACAAACAAACAAAGTTTTCCTCTTTATAATATTAGTGTAGAAAAAGTTGGTCATTCATTTCCGGAAAAATATTATTTACTTACTTGTAAGTCTGTTTAACATTTTCCCAACCTTTCTTTCAACCTGAATACTTTTAATTTCTTGTTCTGGGAAATTCTAACCCGAGAAATGATATGAATAATGTTAATTTGCTTTCAGATTTTATAAGTAAACACGACGCCGAGCACATTAGGGGCTCAGAGTGCGACCAGAAGATCCTGAGCAAAAAGGAATCTACGGGATTCGTGTACCATCCAAATTATCCATTCCCCTATATACAAAAAGTTGTTTGTAGGTGAGTTCAAAAATTCAATCAACGTTTGTAGTTTCTCGTTAAATTATTATAAGAATTTAATAACTATTTTTGTTCCAGATATTTTATATACGGTATGCAAGACTCACAAAATTTAGAAAGGGTGCGTTTAGAATTTCAAAACTTTTCTATACCAAAGGGATCTAACCCGAAACCTGAGTGAGTACACAAACATTTATAATTGCTACGTAGCGGAGTTAAGAACTCTAATCATCTTATTTAGTTTCATGACGACTTTGTAAAAGTTTATTATGCCGCTAACATCAATTAAATTTTTGTCTCTTTCGCTGGTCGTGATATTTAAAGCACCATTATTCTGAAACCATAAGTACCCTAGAATTTAATCCATTCTTATTCTATTCACGCGCAATAGGCCTTGTAAAAATAGCTTGGTGTCAGGGAATCTGGGGAGAGAAGATGTCATCATCATTTTCATCATCATTACAGCCATAGGACGTCCACTGCTGAACATTGGGGGACCAATGCTATCCATGTTGATCGATTGGTAGCGGTTGGTCTTCTCAAAGGTGATAAGAGAAGACGTATGTAGTACATACCATCAAATAATTTATTATTCAGAGACTAAAAGCGACAATCAGCCGGAGATATCGTTACACAGGTAGTTTTTAACCGACTTAAAAAAGGAGGAGGTTCTTTGTTTGGCTGTAATGTATTTTTTTTCATAATAATTCATAATCATCTAGCTAGGGCTAGGACATTGCCTCACTCCCTCTTAATCATAACCATAGCAAAGATTCACGCTCCTACCATCTTCCAGCTCGTGCCCCGACGGCTACCTCAAGGTGTACCTCCGCGGGCAGGAGGCGACGGACTCGTACGACAAGCACGACGCGGAGTTGTGCGGAGAGGGCGCGCCCGGCCCCCCCGCCTTCCCCGCGCCGCTGCTCTCCGACGGACCAAGGCTCGTGATGGTCTTCAGCTCCGGCGAGCTGCAGGGCCGGGGGTTCAAGGCCAAATATACTTTTGAGACTGGTACGTGAGGTTCAGAATTGGACGCTCTGGTTACGGTTTTGTTTAGTCGGAACATTGTGACGGGATTGTCGGAAAAGAAGTAGGATTTTGTGTCCCACCCGCCTTCCCCGCGCCGCTGCTCTCCGACGGACCAAGGCTCGTGATGGTCTTCAGCTCCGGCGAGTCGCAGGGCTGGGGGTTCAAGGCCAAATATACTTTTGAGACTGGTACGTAAGGTTCAGAATTGAACGCTCAGGATTCATGTAAATCGCGCGCGTCATCGCATCGCTTGCGCGTAATTATGTTGCCTGTCGCGCTCGCACACTCACTGCGGGCGCCTGTCGCACAGTCGCGACAGCAATATAATTACGCGCGAGCGATAAGGATAGGTAGCTTGGGGTCATTGGACAAAATTCTACGTGCTCACGGACCAGGCTTTACTACTTCACTGTTTGGTTAGGACATTGCAACCGTTTGGCTGAAAAGAATTAGGATTCTGTGTCTCGCCCGCCTTCCCCACTCCGCTGCTCTCCGACGGACCAAGGCTCGTGATGGTCTTCAGCTCCGTCGAGCTGCAGGGCCGGGGGTTCATGGCCAAATATACTTTTGAGACTGGTACGTAAGGCTCAGAATTGAATGGTGTTGATACGGCTCTGCTCTGAGCCCCCGAGTTCACAATTAGGTTAGGATATTGCGACCTGATTGTCTGAAAAGAAGTAGGATTCTGTATCCCGCCCGCCTTCCCCGCGCCGCTGCTCTCCGACGGACCAAGGCTCGTGATGTTCTTCAGTTCCGGCGAGCTGCAGGGCCGGGGGATCAAGGCCAAATATACTTTTGAGACTGGTACGTAAGGTTCAGAATTGGACGCTCTGGGTGCGGTTTTGTTTAGTCAGAACATTGTGACGGGATTGTCCGAAAAGACGTAGGATTCTGTATCCCGCTCGCCTTCCCCGCGCCGCTGCTCTCCGACGGACCAAGGCTCGTGATGGTCTTCAGCTCCGGCGAGCTGCAGGGCCGGGGGTTCAAGGCCAAATATACTTTTGAGACTGGTACGTAAGGCTCAGAATTGAACGCTCTGGATGCAGGTCGTACTTCACTATTTGGTTAGGACATTGCAACCGTTTGGCTGAAAACAAATAGGATTCTGTATACAGCCCGCCTTCCCCGCGCCGCTGCTCTCCGACGGGCCAAGGCTCGTGATGGTCTTCAGCTCCGGCTGCAGGCCCGGGGGTTCAAGGCCAAATATACTTTTGAGACTGGTACGTAAGGTTCAGAATTGGACGGTCTGGGTACGGTTTTGTTTAGTCAGAACATTGTGACGTGATTATCTGAAAAGAAGTAGGATTCTGTGTCCCACCCGCCTTCCCCGCGCCGCTGCTCTCCGACGGACCAAGGCTCGTGATGGTCTTCAGCTCCGGCGAGCTGCAGGGCCGGGGGTTCAAGGCCAAATATACTTTTGAGACTGGTACGTAAGGTTCAAAATCGGATACTCTGAATGCAGGGATACACTGTGACGTGATTGTACGAAACGAAATAGGATTCTATATCCTGCCAGCGTTCCCCATGCCGCTGCTTTTCAACGGACCAAGGCTCATTCGTCATGGTCCTATGAGAAATTTGACTCCGATTGAGTCATCATGATGGATAATTATGGCGCCTCAAAAAATCTGACACCACCAGGGTTATGCGTGACCTCAGTTGTAATTTGTAACCCACATCCATATTCTTTTGGACATTCCAAGGCAAATTCTGACATGACGATGATGAGGTTCTAATTATTGACATTTGACCATGATGTTTTGTTACAGAATACCGAGTGCCAGGCACAGCCGCTCCCGGCGGCGAGTGCGCCTTCACATACCGCTCGGAGGCGAAGAAGCGCGGCGAGTTCAACTCCCCCCGCTACCCCTCCAACTACCCCTCGCGCACCAACTGCACCTACACGCTCGACGCCACGCCCAATGAACAGGTCACCGTCGTCTTCGACCACTTCAAAGTCAAGGCGGACGGTTGGAACGCCACCGCTGGACTATACGGGTGAGTCTTCTTTTACGACTGCTGTCGTTGCAGTGGGATATACTTGTACAGTCCCCTTGAGTTCAACTTCCACCGCTATCCTTCATCACTAACTGCATGTAGGTACACGTTGGGCGCCACGAATAGCGAGCAGGTCACCGTCATCTTCGATTCGAAAAAAGCGGGAGATCGTCTCTGGTGATCTTTGGGAAGGCTTATGTGCGGCAGTGAACTAACAAATTGGCAATTATCCTAAGGTCGGCCGGCTATTGTGTTGAAACCATTATTAACATTAAGCAGCTTAGCTGGAGGGGTTAACTGAAATATAAACAACAAACTGAACCTTTTTGCTTGAAAGATAGTGATGAGATGATTATTCCGAACGAAGTGGCGCGACGTGCAGCGAGGCATGGTGGATGAGGGAGGGAGGGAGCGAAGTTCCGGACGTGTTACTTTGTTAAAATATATAGAAGATCCTGCTCTTTAGGGCAGCTACTGTTTAGCTGCATGCAATTTTTTGACAAATATTTGTGTATGCTGTAGTGGCGCGACGTGCAGTGAGGACTGGGTTCGAGGGCTCCCATGTGCTGCATGGTAAAAGATGAGATCTTGAAAGCTAACGTAATACATAATATTCCGCAGTGGCGCAACGTGCAGCGAGGACTGGGTGGAGGCGTGGTGGACGGGGCGCGAGGGCTCGCGCGTGCCGCTGGGCCGCTGGTGCGGGCCGGCCACGCCGGGCCCGCTGCAGTCGCCGCGCGGAGCCCTGGGCCTGCTCATCGCGCTACACACCGATCTGGAAAACGTCGCCTCTGGGTTCAAAGCGCGATATGTTTTTGAGGTGAGTGTTACAATCTTATTTGGAGTTTGTAAAGCATTAGGTTGAAAATTAGATCGCTTTCATGTGCTACATGCGGGTTACAAGATATACCTACCAAGTCTACCATGTTCTTAGTCTTAGTGCTATCTTGGATTATTTGTAGGACTACATCCGAATTCGAAAACATGAAGCTATAAGTTTAGGTCAATCTCACTCAAGTATCTTGCAAGTCGTACTCAAGTATCTTGCAAAGCAAGCGACACACGTAAAGCAAACTCAATTTTTAATTCATCCGACGTCTTCCCAGCCCGCAAAGTCGATATTCGGCGACTGCGGCGGCAACATGTCGAGCGCAGAGTGGGGCGTGATCACGTCGCCGCGCTTCCCGGCGCCCTACGAGCCGCCCGCGCGCGGCGCCGCCTCGCGCGTCTGCAACTGGTTCGTCACCGCGCGCCCCGGCAAGCGGCTACTGCTCAACTTCGAACACTTCGCTGTGGAGGGACATCTCACTGGTAAGTAAGCCACCAGTACCATAGTTAGGATGTAGCCTACATAGCTTCCCGGCGCCCTACGAGCATCCCGCGCGCGGCGCCGCCTCGCGCGTCTGCAACTGGTTCGTCACCGCGCGCCCCGGCAAGCGGCTACTGCTCAACTTCGAACACTTCGCTGTGGAGGGGCATCTCACTGGTAAGTAAGCCACCAGTACCATAGTTAGGATGTAGCTTACATAGCTTCCCGGCATCTTACGTGCCGCCCGAGCGTGGTGCCGCCTCGCGCGTCTGCAACTGGTTCGTGACCGCGCGCCCCGGCAAGCGGCTACTGCTCAACTTCGAACACTTCGCTGTGGAGGGGCATCTCACTGGTAAGCCACCAGTACCATAATTAGGATATAGCCTACATAGCTTCCCGGCGCCCTACGAGCCGCCCGCGCGCGGCGCCGCCTCGCGCGTCTGCAACTGGTTCGTGACCGCGCGCCCCGGCAAGCGGCTACTGCTCAACTTCGAACACTTCGCTGTGGAAGGACATCTCACCGGTAAGCCACCAGTACTATAGTTAGGATGTCACCTACATAGCTTCCCGGCGCCCTACGCGTGTGTGCAACTGGTTCGTGACCGCGCGCCCCGTAACTGACGGAAAAATAAGTAAATACTTAGTGCTATTATTAATCTGCTCCCACACATTCGCCACCGTGCTCGGGCTAGCCTCGTAAATGGTTCGTTGACGTGCTCCCAGGCAGTGGCGGCGTAGCATGGGTTGGCACCCGGGGCGATGACACCCCCCCCAAATGGTCTGATGGTCTGGTGCCCCCCAGGATTAGAAGCTATATGATACCAATCGCACCCCCTCCCCTCCCCCATATTATGACATATCATGACCGCCCTTGTCATGAAGATGCGCCAGTGAGTACTAGTCTGCGCGACTGTTGTCACCCCCTGATGCTTGGCACCCGGGCCAGCTCTACAGTGGCTAATAAATGATAATCTTCACCTTTTAGGAAATCTGACATGACCGCCCGGGAAGAATTTTTTGAATAGAAGTATACAGGGTGAAAATTATAACGCTTCAAAAGCTTTACGAATTTTCCTCGCTCGTGATTGCGTTTGTAATGTCTATCTGACATTATCTCCTGGCTATTTCCAGAGCGTGGGTGCCCCGCAGCGGTCTTACGGCTGTGGTACGAGAGTCCAGGTCCGCCGCTGGAGCTGTGCGGCGAGAAGGCGCCCACCGACCGGTGGCAGTACCTCTCGTCTTCCAACTCCATTAGGCTCTCGTGAGTATACTCTGACCTTTGAGTTGTACATAATGTATTCTAGTCATATCCAAAAGTTAGAAAAGTTTCGGCTGGTTGTTAAACATTTTAACCAACGAGCAATAAATTTCGCCGATCATAGACAGCTAGCTGGAACCAGAAGACATTGCAGATATTATCTTGACCAATACAAATCGTAATAAAAGTCGCTTTGTGGTAGAAAACGAAGAATCGTAACACTGCTATCCTGTTCGACAGAGTGCATTTATAAGATTTAAGGGTATTCTTTCTGAGAAGTCTTCGATAGCCATGATAGTCGAACGGTGAATGGGTCGGACTGGCCGATTCGAGATCCGAGAAACGCGGGTTCGAATCCCACCGCCGCGGCGCCGATCGACTGTTGTGGTGAGCGAGTGGCGTAACACAAGCTTATTTAGCTTAACACGAGGGACTAATGGGACTATTAGCAATTTGTACTTATTGCACAAATTACTAATAATAATCTTAAAAAAAAACTATCTTGGGTCAATAGATTGTACCTACAGTGATACATTCAAGATGGTGGTTTTATAGTCGCACAGTGCCCATAGTTTGTGGAAATTAGGCGGAAAAATTTCTGGGCTCAAAGGGCTTTAGTCGCAGACTATTGTACTCATCATCATCATCTCAGCCATAAGACGTCCACTGCTGAACATAGGCCTCCCTCAATGCTTTCCATGTTGCCCGGTTGGTAGCGGCCTGCGTCCAGCGCCTTCCTGCTACCTTTATGATGTCGTCGGTCCACGTTGTGGACGTCCCACGCTGCGTTTCCCGGTACTTTGTGCTTCTGTATAAGGCCTTCTTCTTCCACGGTCCCTCACTGATGAGGATCGCGACCACAGACTGTGTTCCTCCACAGACTGCGGTCATAAGCTGTGTGGATGTGTGTATAAGGCCTAAACTGTTGTCGGCCGTTTGGTGTAGTGGTTCAGAACGGACTACTATGCCGAGAGGTCCCGGGTTCGATTCCCGGCCGGGCAGAAATTGAAATGATGAATTTTAATTTCTGTGACGGGTCTGGGTGTTACTATGTAGGTATAATATGTATGTATTTAAAAAAAAAGTATATAAGTAATATATCCGTCAAGCTAGCACCCATAACACAAGCATATTAATTGCTTACTTTGGGGCTAGATGGCGCTGTGTGAGATTGTCCAAAGATATTTATTTATTTAAAGAGTTGTAATATCTAGCGCCTTCCACAGGTTCATAATAGCGGACAAGTCAGTAGGCGCGGCGGGCTGGCGCGCCGTGTGGACCGAGGTCTCCGTCGGCGAGGAGTGCGCGGACGCACGCAGACCGGCGGAATGCGCCGGCGCGTGCCTGCCGCCCGCCGCCGCGTGCTCGGGCCTACAGCACTGCGCCGCGCTCGCGCCGTCCCGACAACACTGTTAGTAAGCACGCTAGCGCACGCACGCACTGGGATGCTATTGTGATTGGACTCGCTCACGGGACTATTCCCACCTCTCGTTCCCACCACTGCAACTCCTGTGTAGCCAGGATCTACAGCTTGACCGCCACAAAAACCCAACCAATGAAGGTCAAGTTTGATTGGACTCGCTCGTAAACCTCTATGAAAATTAGAACTAGCTTTCCGCCCGAGGCTTCGCCCGCGTGGAATTTTGTCTGTCACAGAAAAATTTTGTCGCGCGCGTCCCTGTTTCAAAAACCGGGATAAAAACTATCCTATGTCCTTTCCCGGGACTCAAACTATCTCTATGCCAAATTTCATCAAAATCAGTTCAGTGGTTTAGGCGTGAAAGCAAGACAGACAGACAGACAGAGTTACTTTCGCATTTATAATATTAGTATAGATAGTATAGATAATAAAGTCTTTATTCAGCACAATGTGGTGGACAAAGCAATACATGATTAACTTAAAATAAAAATATGCTGAATAGGCGCCCGCTCATCAAAAAATCGAGAAGCTGGTCTTCAACGGGAACCAACGCGTGACGAGGATTGCGCGCCCCTCTGGTCGAGACGGTTTGACCACCTATTTGTGTACCAGCAGCCCATAATCCATTGTGGATTTGAACGCAATCCACGATAACCAGGAAACAAAAGAACTACCTAATTGAGGTATTATAAACGTGGTATACAGGGCGAATAGATGTATGATGAACTAATGTCAATGGTTGGTCAAATCTAAGGATCTAAGAAATAGCAGACTATGCTAAAGAGTACTAGAGAAGTGTATATGTGGATATTCACTTTGACAGAGAAGAGTCGTTTTATAAGGTCATACCTACCATAAAAGTGGTAGAGTCACTATTCCACTAACCACCTACCTAATCGTCGGCCATCCTGGCCTACCTAAGAACGTCCAAATCACAATAGCATCCCCTAACATTTTGGTCGAAGATATAGTGTACCGATTCTTCGTTATAATCTCGTTTCTTGATAACATATCCCAGAAGAAAGACTACTATCTTAAATTCCACTCTATATCATCGTCCAACATGAATTCTTGGGTTGTCAGGATTTTAATTGCGTTTCAGCAATAAACTTCCAACAATAGTAATGATGAGCATTTTAACAAGAAACAAAGAACGATCCGCCTATTATCCCCGTAAGAAAATATTCCATTCTGCTTTTCTTTAGACAATTTCAACCTGACAACCCATTTTCAAAACCACCAACAGCACGACATTAAGTTTTAAGGAGGTGATCGTATTTAACAGCATATAATCAAGGTTTTCCAGTAAAATAGGATATCAAGTAACTTTAAATATTATGAAAATATTTTGCAGTTTGAGGAATCATTAAAATAAATATTCTCGTTATGATATTCTTAGACTTTATCCATATCTACTAGATCTTTAAAATCTTACATATTTCTAGTAGGTAGAATTTGAAAAAATATTAGTAATTAAGATAAATATTGACAGTTCTTGATTCCAGACCATTTCCCATTTGAGACGAGTGTGTTTTGGATTTTATTTACGTTGTGTGACATCTGCCCCGTTTACTATAAGTTATTCGGATGCATCTAATTTTAAGCGGTCGCTTAGGTTTTTCCAAATTTATTAGTCCAGAAAACTTCACTGTATTATATACGATTGGCACTGCACTTGCATTTCACTTAATGATTGTATTTACACATTGCATTTGATCGTCGCATCATAGGGTTATTATTAATGATATCTATGATAAATTCCAATTTAACGGTGTAGCTTGTTATAATAAATATTCCACGGAGTAAGCAGTATTCAGTTGTCGCCCTTGTGCTTCCGATCGACGGCGAGCTTCGCGGTCATACGAGCTGCTGCTTACTCTAGCTTTTATCTTCTGTATTGTTGTATAATATTGTACTTAAACACTGTAGCTCTGTTAACTAATGATCTTTAAATTTAACATAATTATGTTCACTATACTTTCAATTTACTAGATGGTTCAATGCAATCTTTGTCTCAAAAATATTAGGTAGCTATGTATAATGTTAGGCGATAGTTTATAATAAGGGTTCAAACATATTATTGTTGGTGAATTAGCAGAATATATCTACTATGTTGCAAAGATTACCGATCTTTTTATTTACAAACGTCCTTTCGAATACGATTTAAATATCTCAATGTTCTCACATAAAATCATTCTTACATTCATATATTCCGCTAAATTTTTTTCTCCAATTTTTACTTTTTATATCTTAGTGTTTTTGCAATACTGTGATGACTCAGGAGAGTTCAAGAAACTTTCGTTTGAGACTAAATTTCTTTTGACGTGGTTTGCGTCGGGTGGCTTTTGGAAAATTTCGAATCAACAGTTTTTCCGGCAGTCGCCGACGTTTCAATCGAACGACGAAGCTTGCATTGAGTCATCGCACTATGGGGCCCGGGGTACCGAGTCGACTGCCTCTTCCCACGTTTACGCGGTAGTACTTTCTGATTTGTCGCTTTAACTAGTGTGTTAATAAACGATCTTTAGAATGGCATGATTTAATCGATGAAATAAAAACAAATCACCGGCCGGGCGTGCACGACCGCGGGGACGCTCACCGATGCACACTCGACACGAGCCTGGCGGCGCGAACACGCACGACTTAGGCCTCAGCCTCGAACTTAGCGGGCAGCGGGGCGGCGGCGGCGGCGGCGCGGGAGCGGCAGGATCTTATGCGTAAAATCAAATAGACCGGTTCTCGAAAACAGCGGCGCGGCAGCGGGGCGGGAGCGGGCAACGAGCGGGCAGCGGTCCTTGAGCGGGCAACGAGCGGGCAGCGCACTCCTTCTTTTGCCCACAATAAAGCGAGCGTTAGGAATAAATTTGAATCGAAATAAAATTGTCGCCGTTGTTCAAACATTTCGTTTGCGAATAAAAACAAATATCTCGACAACACAACCCCGAACACAACTCTTAGCGGGCAGCGGGGCGGCGGCGGCGGCGGCGCGGGAGCGGGGCGGGTAACGCAGACCCGTTCTCGAAACCAGCGGGCAGCTCGCGCGGCGATTTAGCGGCGAAGTGTTGTGTTCGGGGTTGTGTTGTCGAGATATTTGTTTTTATTCGCAAACGAAATGTCTGAACAACGGCGACAATTTTATTTCGATTCAAATTTATTCCTGACGCTCGATTTATTGTGGGCAAAAGAAGGAGTGCGCTCCCCGCTCGATGCCCGCTCCCTCGCCGCTGCCCGCTCGTTGCCCGCTGCCGCCCCGCTGCCGCGCCGCTGTTTTCGAGAACCGGTCCATTTGATTTTACGCATAAGATCCTGCCGCTCCCGCGCCGCCGCCGCCGCCGCCCCGCTGCCCGCTAAGTTCGAGGCTGAGGCCTAACACGCACATCACAGTCAGTAGCGCGGTGCTCGGTCGTGCACGGCCGCGGGTACGGATCAGAAAGTATGTCGATATCGGTGCCGTGGGGCTGACGCGGCGGTGTGCGCAGGCGGCGCGGCGCCGGGCCGCGTGTCGGCGCGCGGCGCGCTCGTCGTGCTCTCGCTTGTGCTCGCCGCCCCGCACTGACCGGGCGCTGCACACGTGAGTCTAATATACACCCGCCCCCGCCCCGTCCCAGCCACCCCGCCACCCCGCCACCCCGCCACCGCACGCTCTTCCCGCTCCGCTTCTCATTCTCGCTCTTCCTCCTTGTTCTGCTCTCGTGACATACCCCCTTACTAATAAAACTTACACGCTCGTTGAACAGTGTTTTAAAGTGACGTTTAGTATGGAAATGTCATTTTAAAACAGTGTTCAACAACTGTGTAACTTTTTATTAGTAAGGGGGTTAGACCCTAACACGTTACCACCGAGAATCTTAACAATCTGAGACATCAGTCATGTCACGAGAGCAAAACAGCAGTCTCATATCTTCGCATTCGCGCTTTTTTCTTGTTGCTTATTCGTTTCATTGCGCAATTTCGTTTGCATTTAAGAATTTGGGGAATACTAGTAAACGTTATCCGGCTCGAAGGAACATATTCAGATTTTGTCATAACGATAAGGCAGTATTCTCCAAAAAGCATCGCTTATTGAGATAATGCTGCATTTATTAAAATTATAAAATAGTGCCAATCTTATCTGGTTTGAGTTACAATAATTAATTTTTATTTATTTAATGTAACTTCTAGAAATATACGGCAGAATTATGTTCGTTATCAGTGTTGTGAAATTAAAACGTGCATCATGCGCCGCCATCGTCATTCATCGCATTCGGCTTCCTAAAACAAACATGATAAAATCTATGTGTTGCATGTTGTAAAAAGTACCTAAAATATAAAATGTATTGTCAAAACACAATAAATTTTGAAACCGCAGGTAGATACCGTACCCACATAACTAAATACCCCGTAGTTTAAATAAATCAACATTAGCTAAATCCCTTTCTAATGACAACAGAAAAAATCCACTCCATTATCCGCCTCGAAGGACCAGCAAAAAACCCGACTGGATACTTTAAATACACAGCACATTATGTAAATATTAACTCCACCCCGCACAAAATCGATGGCAAAAAATTAACACCATAAAACTAAATCCAAAATAAAACAGACACAGCACATAAAAAAGGGTCGGGATCTACCTGCGGTCCGCTGCGCAAGCGCGCTGAGGTTTCCCATCGCACAGGCGGCGCGGAGGCCCGCGGCAGCGCCGGCGGGGGCGGGGCCACGAGCGCGTGGTGGTGGGGCGGGGGCGGCGCGGCGGGCGCGTGCGGCGCGCTGGCGGTCTGGTGCCGCCGCCGCCGCCGCCGACCCCGCCGCCCGCCGCCGCCGCCGCGCCCGCCGCCGCGCGCCTGCGCCGCCCGCCTCGCCTCGCTGCAGGACACCGTATGACGACGCGCGCGCCGGCGTCAAGATAGCTTTTATTTACTTGTACCGAATTCAATCGGACTCAGCCTAGTGTGCATTACCAATTATTTGGCTACTAATTTCTGCTCACGATGGACTAGACTAAAGCACAAAATTTATTAAAAAAATTGCTGCTGTGGTGCCGCCGCCGCCGCCGCCGACCCCGCCGCCCGCCGCCGCCGCCGCGCCCGCCGCCGCGCGCCTGCGCCGCCCGCCTCGCCTCGCTGCAAGACACCGTATGACGACGCGCGCGCCGCGCCACCGCATGCGCCGCGCAAATCAGACTTATCGAATACACAACTTTAACGTACCGACGAGTTTTTATTCACCTGCTCCATATCCAAATTGAAACACTTTGTCTTTAGGGTT